TTCCCAGAGAGCATGTTGGACTTTGCTGAACATGGCTGGTGTCACCAAACTCAACTTTCTCTTGGGCCAGTAACAGGGAGGTACCTGATGTCAAACTCCACAACACGTCTAGGGCAGGCACAGCCCCAGTGGAGAGAGGCCCCAAGAACACCCCGTCCTGCTCAGTTTTTCTCTCTAGCCCTGCAGCATAAGGCCAGAAAGCAGAGGTCTAACTGAGACCAGACCTTCCCTTTCCCATCGCAAGGCCCATCAGAAGACATGGGGATTCCCTTCACGCTGGCAATCTCTGCCTGCCCATTTTAACCATCTTTGGGTTAAACCAATCCCCCAACAGCAGAATGATCAGAGTAGACAGCTACAGACTCTACATTCACACCCCAGACCCCCAATTCCCAGGGCCCCTCAGCTGCAGCAGGGCTTAAAACGAGCATCATTTCAACAACCTTGCAGGCAGGCCCCATTCGCTTTGTAGGGTGTCCTAGGCAACCTCTGTCTCCAGCCCTGAAAACACTTCAGTTTGGGGGAAGCAACTGGCTCTACAGCAAACCATGAGAAAGCAGAGCACCTGGAGAGAAGTCGACTCAGTTCTGGTTGGCATGCATTAGCAACCTGCCCAGTCTCCTCTGCTAGCCCTGCAGGACTAAATACACCTGACATGTCCATGTATCTGGCACCATCTTCATGGCTCCACAGTAGCTTAGGAAGCAGACTTGCTCATTTCATCACGAATGAAGTGAAACTGGGCACTGGTGCAAAGCCACCTGCTTCTCCACTCCCACAGAGATTGCTATTGCAAAGATGTCCCCTGTCCCCTTGTTGAATCCCATCCCATCCCATCCCATCCCTGCCAGAAGGGTGGGTGGGTACAACAGTTCCTGAGGTTTCGAAGAAACTCCTTCAGTAGGCACATGATGGTTCTTCAACTGGAGCTATTGGACTGAGGGGCTTCAAGGTGCTGAGGGAACGGAAGGCAAAGGTTGATGGGTCGTATACTAAGTGAGATGGTGGGCGGCTCCCATTGACATTCTGTAGGGGAAAAAGAAAAGGCAAAAGGAATGTGTCAGTGCTCACGCAAACAGAGAACAGGTGAAAGCAGGTACATATCCCACTGCCCTCTCCTGGATACAATCACATCTGCTGCAATGCGTGTCAGAGGCCCACACCAACAGCTAAGAACAACAGCACAAACAGTAAAGTTATTCCCTCTTTTCCCCCAAAAAACTGTGTCGCTAGACTGAAGGCAACTGGATACCTGTGTAATTAGGGCCTCTGGCCCCAGCTAGTAGTTCAATAATGCAGCAGTGAGAAACAGGGCAAAGGATGTACAGGATGCAATCAGAGTCAGGGGTATTGAAAAGTCAAGCAACTCCAAGGCATCACAGCTAGGGCCAAATGAACTTAATTTGATGAGTAGTGAGTGGCTGGGAACTTGCAGGAGCTACATTTTATCATCACAAAATAAGCAGCTTTTGGTATTTCAGTCCTAATCTATTAGAGATGGCCCAGAACCAAAACCCTGGAACACTAGGGATCTGGATCCATGCTCTGGACCCTTGACCCATCTCTATCTTCTCCCTCCCAAATCGCTCATTTAGTTTCTCTCATCTCTTTGATGTTGGTCTTTGATGTCTCTCTAGCACATCTCCTCGCTCCCTAAACTCTCCCTCTAATCTATTCTACTCCACATACCTCTAATATCTCTCTACTCTTTTTCTTCTCTAATCCACCACACCTCTTGCTTTCTGCTGTCTACCTCTCTGGATGATCCCATCACCTACCATTTGTGGCCACTCTCAGTATCACATCCCTCCTCTTTGTGCCCCTCCCTTTTATGTTCCTTCTCTTTCTGCCACCTCTTTTTCCATGCTACGGAATATAATCTCATTCCGAGCACTTCATGTTTTCTGGGCACAACCAAACCCTAGCCTTGGTTTAAGTTAGGATATGAGGAGGCTGCATACCAAATTTGGTAGTCCTATTTTTTACGGTTTAGGAGGATTTCTTGAACAAATGGACTCTTAGGCTACGTCTACATTGTAGCCTTCTTCCAGAAAAGCTTATGCAAATGAAGCACGGAGTGGAATATCACCGCACTTCATTTCCATAATTAATTAGCAGCCGCTTTTGCGCAAGAGGCTTTTGCGCAAAAAGGAGTTGTGTAAACGACTCCTTTTTGTGCAAAAACCCCCTCTTGTGCAATAGCCGTTCTTCCTCATTTTTTCAGGAATAATAGCGCTTCCACAAGAGGGAGTTTTTGCACAAAAAGGTGCTGTTTACACAGCTTTTTGCACAAAAGCCTCTTGTGCAAAAATGGCTGCTAATTAATTATGCAAATGAAGCGTGGCAATATTCCACTTCATTTGCATAAGCTTTTCCAGAAGAAGGCTACAGTGTAGCTGTAGCCACAGATATACCGACAGATAGATGCATTGTAATATATATTTATATATATATTTCTTTTTTAATGATTCCTAACAATGTTAGCTTTTTTTTTTAACTTTTAATGCATATTAAACAGTTGTTTTCAGAGAACTGCCCGTGATTTTGAAAATTTTCCTTGAATTACACCTGAATAAGACTTATGGAATTGGCCAAATGTGAGTTGAGGCTGCTTAGAAGTAGTGCCAGTGTAGACGTAGCCCTCTAGTTTATCTAATCCATCTGGAACAAACATTCTGGATGAAACAAAGACCCACCTACCCTGGGGATGCAAGGGTCACAGTCGTTTTGTTATCTGCTCACTGGGATTACAGTTTGCACACAAACTTCTTGTATTCACATTCTCCCTCACTCCAGGACTTATCCCATCTCAGTTCACTATAGGCAGGTTCCTCTGTATGCCCCTGATTTTCAGAAGCTCTGAGCATCTGCAGCACCCACAGAAAATCAGCTGGTGCGATGGATGCTCAGCACGTCTAATAATCATGCTCTGTCTAGATTTTAAACCTGGCATGGAGCCATCCAGGCAACCAGCCCTTCTAGGCTAAAGTGAGCCACCCCCTCGCCCCTGCCCCCAAGACTTGTGTCACTGTGCAGGCTTCCCCCAAGGGAGCTCTTCCACATGGATGAACCAGGTGTAATAAACAGGAAATAAAATAACCCACAAAGTTATAAAGACAGCCCAGGATGGAAAGTGGGTGGGTGGCGACCAATGGAGCCAATCTTATCTGCAGAACTAAGAGAGTCTGTCCCACGCAGCCGACAGTGCAGTCCCAAAATAAACCACACTGCCTTCAAAGAATAGCTAGTGCCTGGCTGGTGTACACTTGGTGCCCTACGGATTGATCGCACATCAGGGCTTCACAGCGTGGTTTGTACCATGGCCCCACAGACAGCCCCCCCCCCCCCCCCCCCCCCCCCCCCCGCGCCGGGGCGGGGGCAACTGTCTGGCACCACAGGATGGAAACCTACTCCCTGGCATGTTCAGAAGTCTCCGAGGGATAGCCATGTTAGCCTGTAACTGAAAAAACTGAAAAACCAACAAATGGTCCTGCAACACCTTAGAGACTAACAAAACATGTAGATGGTATCAGGAGCTTTTGTGGGCACAACCCACTTCTTCAGATGAATGGAGCAAGGTGAGAAGTGGGTTGTGCTCACAAAAGCTCAGGCTACCATCTCCATTTTTTGTTAACTCCCCAGTATAGACATGCCCTAAGAGACTATTTCAAAACAACAAGGTTTGTTATTTATGCTACCAATATATAGTAATAATAACTACCAAGCCTGTTATTCAAAATAAAGAGCTTGTTATTTCGAAATAACAACTCCTGCTTGCGAAGAGGAATAATAACCTGGTAGTGTAGATATAGCCTAAGGTGCTGCAGGACCAGTTGTTGTTTTTTAAGTTTCTCCCTGGGAGACACTTTGCAATGCTGGATGGGACCTGTGGCTCAGCCAACTCCACCACTGGCCAGGGGTGGGGCTGGGTTAGAGATGGAGAATCACCCATCTTAGGGAGGCACAGTCTCTCCTTTGCATCTCACTGTTGTTTTCTATAACAGCTACATAAACTACCCTGAAAGATCTCAAATCCCCACCCCCTACTCTCTGTTCCACACTCCTGCAGCTCCGCTCCTACTCCCACGCAGTCCCGGCTCGGCCCCCCACTCCCAGCAATGCTCCCCTGCTCAGCTCTCCACTTCTACTCTTCCTCTGGCCTTCAGCCTTCCCCATCCCACCCTACCCTCAACGCTGCCCTGCACACGCCTCCTACCTCCTACCCTCTTCTCCACTCTCCCAGCTAGCGGCTCCTCTCCTGGCACCAGTGTAGCAGAGTGCCCCGTTCCTGCTGCCCCACTCCCTTTACAGCCAGGCGTCTTCTGCAGTAATATAATGCCTAGAAATCCTGCCCTCACACTGCGTGCCCACAAGTCCCACTCATCCCAGCAGGCGCCTTAATCCCCCCGAACCTGGGCGATAGCACAGCACAGAGTGAGCTGCAAACGGCTCCAACCCACCCTGTTTCCAGCCAATCTGGTGTTCAGCCCTGTCCTTGCAAATGACAAAGGTCTTTGGCCTCTGAGGGGGTGGTAGCAACAAATCCACCCATACAGCATGACATCTTCTCCAGCTTGGCTAGAAGTGGGCATCCAACAGCACCACCAGGAGATGGCAGAGCATGCAGGCGGGAATCCTGTGTAGCCCCACAGACTGTTTACGCCTGGGTCTGGGATAGTGTCATTTGTGGTTTGCATTCCTGGCCAGAAACCTCTTGGTCCTCTTCCACTAGTCCCATACTGCTCCCATTGACATCACTGGGCATCGGCTCTGGGCGTCAAGGAGAGCAGTGTCTGGCTGGGAGGGAGGGCAGCTGTGGGCTATACCTAAGGCCACCACCCTCTACATTTGGCCCACAGACTGGGTGCACCAGGAGCTGGCTCCAACCTCCCATCTGTCTCTTTTCTGCATCCCCTAACAAGGGCTTGCCCTGAATGTAAGTGTTACTTGCCCAGCCATGGTGGACGCCCTTTTGTTGAGGGATCAGCACGTTTAGAAACAATTAGCAGCTCTGTTGTCCTCTCTGACACCTCAAGGTCATCTCATGTCTAAGATGTGGTCGCCATGCAGGGATGGAAGACCTCAACCCATCTTCCCCTGCCCTGATGAATTTTAATTTGGGATCAGCAGGGGGACGCACCTTTTCCCTGCAGGCTTTCCTGCCAGCTGTGCTAGTGGATAGGGTCATTTCACCTTAGAGATGGGAAAAAAGTCTGCCATATCATCCAGCCCCTGCAGCATTTGCCCCCATGTAGCAATGGGAGCAGAGACTGGAGGCAAGTGTGTGTTTGTCCATGTTTCTAGGTTCTGTTCTAAGCTTTGCCACTAAGCTGCCATGTGCCCAAGAGAGAGGATTTATTATAAAAGGAAATCCACACCAAAGCACGTGTGCACCCTGCCTTGCATGCACAGCTGCTCCCTGATCCCCAAATCGAGGTGGTCCATCAGCATAGAAGATGCCAAGGTTATGCCTGGCATCAGTTCTGCTCAAAGCTCAAACCTGCAGATAACACCCTACTATCTCCCCTGACACGGTGGCTGGCCCAATGAGAAACAAGAGAGGCAGATTTAAGAGCCTCTTCTCAATAGACTCCTGCTGTGAGTTTTATATGGTGAGTGCTCCGGCAGGGCTTGGAGCTGGAGGGTAACATAGCAACCCCTATTCAGAGCTAAGGGGGCAGAATAAATCAGCAGACTTTTCCCTCTCCTGACCAGAGAAGCTGCCCATCAGTGCTAAGAGGGGAAGGGAACAAAGACCTGGCAGTGCCCTCCAATTTGAAATGCCAGATGGGATTGGGGGAAGTGTCTGAAAGGAGCTGATTTCTGATGGGTAGCAGAAGAGGCAGCAAGAGAAAGAACCAGGGAGAGAGGGGCCCAGAGGACCTACAAAAAGCCATCCACAAAACTTAGCATGCCTTGGGTAGCTCTGTCAGTACCACTGGGGTCCACGTCTGCATGAAGCAGCCTTCATACTGCCCTAATAGGGTGAATCTACACAGCCCCCTGACCTCGAAATAAACAACGCA